ACCTTGACTACAGATTATACAATGCCTCTAATTCAGTTAATTCTGAAGCAAAATGTGTTCATTATGCAGAGAGCAAGGAAAGCAATACTACGTACAACACTGAAAAAAACTGGAACTGCCAACAGCACGAAGTGTAAAAGCACACCCCTTCCAGCCTTGGGAAACATAAGGAATGACAGGAACAGTGAGCCCCATGTTTTCTTTTATTCCATGTCACAGAGAAATAGGGGACTTCCCCTTAATTAAAAATAGCAAAAGGATGCCACCCCAGCATGTTTTTTTCCCTCTGTTGCAGTTGAGATGGGGAAAGGGAAAGCAGTGAGTTTACATGCAATGATCCCCAAAACTGCAGGGAGATTTCCCAGAATAAATCTGTAAACTAAGGATGTCAAGTATCAGATAACTGACTAATCAAATAGTCGATGCATTTTTACATCAACTATTTGATTAGTCGATCGGGCACTTCCACCTTTGAAGTGTAGCAACAGCCCTGGAAGTACTCCCTCTTTCCCCCCCTCCTCTTGCCTCCTCTATCTAACAGAGGCAGCAAGGCGGGGGGAAGCGACTAGTTGACTATCCTGTCAACTAGTCCTTCACATCCCTACTGTAAACTAGCTATGGCTTCATCAAGCCTCAAAACCCTCTACTTGCTGTCAAGACGGAGGGGAGACGGAGTAAGTGGACACAACCAACAGCAGTACGGTTCTTAAGGGAGCCGTGCTACTAAGGGGAGGGGGTTCCATGTCAAATCTATCAAATAGCAATAGAACAGCTTTAAGGTGATTAATTTATGTAATGACCCAGACCCCTCCCCTCACCAAAAAGCATGAAGAGGAAACCAAGGTAAACATTCATTTTCTCCTTTCATTGGTTTCCCCATAGAATGGGTCAGATGGCATTTGATTCAAAATTCAGAATGTTGCTGAAAACAAGTTTCTGCATAAATGGAAAGCCTATAGGGAAAAAAAATCTCTCTATTAAAAACATACAACATTCTTCAGGAGTGTTTGCAATACAAAACATTGCATGCCTGCTAGCACATAGGGTCCTGAAAATAATGCAGATTAGAAACTAACTAGCTTCATCATGCTCCAAGCTAAAAGAAATGCAACAAGTAAACAACTGAAGTAATGAGAAGTTACATTCAAAGTGAATTTTTAAAAGTCTAAGAAATTTGCAATACCAGTTTGTTTTTAAAATGAAGGCCCACTATGATGTAAGGATGGCTACTCGTAGTCGATACAATTTGTATTGACTATGCAATTAGTTGATAAAAGTTGCTCTGTAGAGCTGTAGCAGAGGTAGCTCCAGGAACCTACTTGACACAGGACTGAGACGTCCCAGCTCATGCCAGCTCTGGAGTCACCCACGCTGCAGCTCTGCATTTTCAATTACATTGAAAATGTGAGGTGCAGCGATCAGTACAAGCTGCGACAGCTTGGCTCCAGCTTGCGCTGAGTCCAGCAGCCCCTATTCGTGGTGGACAACCATATCTGCTGTTAACAGGGGCTGGTCCTGGAGCACCCTCTGTTCACAGTGGCCAACTTGAGTCTACTTGAGTTCCTGCTCACCCCGAGCTCCCTGTGTCTCTTCTGCTTTTGAAATGTGCAAGAGCCCTGCAGAAGCACCTGCGGTGGGAACCGGTGCGAGCAGGGACTGAAGCAGTTCCCACTCACGCCGTTTCTCGCTATTTCTCTGCCTCCCCTGCCCCTGCAGAGACAGTGCTGGGAGGAATCGGCTTTACTAGTTCCTCACCAGCACCAGCCTCTTTCTGATCGAGGTAACAAGAGGGGTGGGGGAGAAACGACTAGTCAAGTTACTTCTTGACTATCTGATAAGCATTTGCTTATTGGATAGTCGACTAGTCGCTTACATCCCTACTACGATGAGAGTAAATACTGCCACAAAGTGGTGGAGGCATATGGAACAAGACAATAAAAAAAAAAAAAAGTATTGTTGGAGTCAATTCTGCACTGACAAGATAATTGAATAGGCCTTCTCTCTCACTTATAGGAGACTGTGTTTCATAAAGAAATCTCGAGCTCAGGAAGATGCATTAGTTCCCAACATATCTTGTAATGTTTCCAGTGAAGTAGGTACACACAGTCTTCAGTTCCCACAAAGATGTTCTGATAAAAATTTGATTGCCTGGCAAAGGAACATCCCTCAAGTACTGCACAGCACCTAGCATGGTCACTGGTGTCAATAAACCACAGTCAGACATTCTAAAATGAATGCCTGCTTGCAGCTCCCTTATTAACTGTTTCTGCATATTTAATATCCTTGTGGGTGCTGAGTAAGGATGTTAGCTATCAGAACAGTCCAGTAACTGCATAAAATCGTATCCATTACTCGACTATTCGATAGTCCCTGGGGGTGGGTCTGGCATTCAGTGCAATGTGGTCCCACTCCCAAGGACCCCCTGCCACTCTGCACTGCTGCCTCTATCAGAGGTAGCAGCATGGGGTGCCAGGCAGGAGATGGTCTGCAAGGGGAGCCAGTTTAACCAGCTCCCCATGCAGACCAGCTGCCTGCTGCCCCACACTTCTGCTCCAATACGGAGGCAGCACAGGGTGGCAGCAGCCCCTGTCCGTGGAGGGAGAGGGGTCCTGAGCTCCCCAGGGACAGAGGCTTCTGTGGAGAGGAGGAGAAAGGCTGCCATGAAGCAGCCTCTGCCTGTGGTGAGTTTGTATCCCCTGCGGACAGGGCCTGCTGCTGCCTGCATTGGGCCTGGGTTTGCTGTGGACAGAGACTGCTTTATGGCAGCCTCCCATGGCCTGCTACCCCCACACTGCTGCCTCTGATAGAGGCAGCCGGGGGGTTGTAGAGGTGTAGAGGGAGGGGAGGCAGGCAGCACAGCGGAGCTGGTGCTGCAGGGAAACCAGCTTTTACGCTTCTTTCCCCCTTTGCTGCCTGTATAGCAGAGGCAGCAGGAGGAGGGGGAAGAATGTGAGTACAGTAGTTGAAGATTACCTGATAAGCCTAGGCTTATAAATTAATCTTATACTTGCTACTCATTTACATCCTTAGTGCTGAGATGCAGTCTTAGGTCACATTTTAACATTAAGCATACTTATTATGAAGACAAAGCATCAAACACAGCATTCCCCTAGAGAGATTTGGGGCCAGAAGAATATTGCTTACATGGCTTTACATTGGAAGCAATACAAAAGAGCCTTATGCCTAGAAATTAACAAGTTTCTCCAACCCAGTATAGTACTGAGACTTACCCTCTCACATTATGTCCACTTCTGTTAGCACAAAATTTCACCTGGGAACCTCCCTGATGCAAGGATGTTTTTTACAGCTTCCTAGAAAAACTTAGTATGAAAAAGTATTTTGTATTCTATGAAGTATTTTCCTTCTTGTTTACCTATACTTAAGCATCTTCCAGGATCATCTTTAGCAAGCACTCTTCTATGAAAAAAAAGGAAGGTGCAAATCTATTTTGAGAATCAGATTATGGAAAATATGCCTTGTTCAAGGTTTATTTGGATATGCAGATTGTGCTTTGACCCGAGGGTTCATTAGAAGCATCTCAAGTTTTGAATTTTTTCTAGTTAGTCCAACAGCTGTTCTTTTACGTAACTCCATTACTGTCCAACCCAGAGAATTCATCTCACCTGTATAGTATCAATATTGGATGCTATCACGGAACTGAACAGTGATCCAGGAACTGATAAGCAAAGCTGCTCTTCTTCTTCTTTTTTTATATAATTACTGCATAATTGCCTTGATAATAAATTTGAAGATCCCAACCTAAGTTCCTCTCTCCACCTTGATAGACAAGTACAGGGTTGTGTGGCTTGATAAGCCAGAGCTAGCTTACAGATTTAGTCCGGGAAATCTCCCTGCCATTTTGGAAATCCTGGCAATCCCCCCTACAAGCTTCACTGCAGCAGAGGTTAAATATTATTTTTCCCCAGCTTGTCCTTAACTGATTACGGTACCACCATTGAGTGGGCAATCAGCTTGCATTTTTAAAATAGTTTATTCTGTAGTTAAATACACAAGGATATTTTTGCTCCTATGTTACCTTTAATGATTCAAGAACAATATTAAACATGCCTGTGCCTATCCCCTACAAGCTTCACTGCAGCAGAGGTTAAATATTATTTTTCCCCAGCTTGTCCTTAACTGATTACGGTACCACCATTGAGTGGGCAATCAGCTTGCATTTTTAAAATAGTTTATTCTGTAGTTAAATACACAAGGATATTTTTGCTCCTATGTTACCTTTAATGATTCAAGAACAATATTAAACATGCCTGTGCCTATCCCTCTCTTGGCACACAGCTGTTTGGCTGGCTTTTCACTGCTTCCTTTTCAACTTTTCTGTTTCTGTTACTCGTAAGCACCCTCTTCAGGGTGGCGGACAGGTCATGCACCATCAACAAGAACACTGTACTGTCAGTTTCAAACATATCACCAAATGCACAGATATTTCCCCATACAGCACCACCACTTTTAGTAACAGCAATCCTAACGGTCATTTGTAATAAATATATTCTGCACATCTTTCTCCTGACACATGTACTCTAAGTTCTTTTTTCTTAGGTGAGAGCTTGCTAGCCCTATGTATCTTTTCACTTGCAACAATGTAGCTGGGTGAGACAGGACTAGAAACTGGACTCTGTTATACCTTGCTGTTTTGTAGATTAACGCAAAGCATCTAAAACAAGCAACCTTTGTCTAAACCTCAAAGAATTGCAGTTTACATCCAATTTCATCCACTGTGAGTTTAAGCATTAATCTTTTATCTCAAACATTTTTGATGAAGTGAGGGTGGTTCCTCCATTATAAGAAAAAGCTAGCCCTTTAGGTTGGAGAGGCTTTCTGAGGCAAACCGTGGTCATCCATGGTACTCGATAAAACACCTCAACCTTTTAAGTCTAAAAGTAGAATATTAAATGATTTAGACTGTATTGCATTTTTGCTCTTTGCTTCAAGTTCCACTCAACACCAAAGGGCAGGGAGAAAGAGAAGAGCACAATCCATACCTTATTTGTAGCAGTAGCACTGGATCCTGGGACCAGAGGCACATTTGTTACTTGCACAGATAAGTAGTTATTGTCTATGAGAGGCCAGGCACCTTCCACTTTGCATGTCTGAAAGTGATCCTTAAAAGTCCTAAGGTGAGGATCACCAAACAAGCCACAAAATAGGTCAGAAGAAGGAGTTTGCTCCCCTCCCCGAAGTTCTCTGGTTCCTAAGCGGCCACTGTAATTACAGGGGTCATGGGTAACTTCAGGGTTAGTAGATGACGTTGGCCCATCCTTGGAGCAGTTTCTCTGGCTCATGAGGTCGCTGATCCCTAGCACAGCGGAATGATAAACGAGGTTTCCACGACAGACTTTGGAATTACGATAGGTGCAGGCAGAATATGCCCGCAGGGCTTTGCAGAACTCCAAATCAAAGCCATCAAGAGCAGAGTTGAGATGTGAAGTTAATGACACAAAGTCTGTGGTGCACTTTTGGATTCGACATGGTGTTTGCAGCTGGCAATCACCTAAGCACAAGAATAAAAAGGGGTAGGGAAGAGAGAGAGCAAACATTTTAGAGCACAATTCATTTTCCCCCGAACACTACAGCCTTAAGGTTACTCAACAGAACCTCTCTCATTGGAAAATTCTCTCTCTCAAAAGGCTGGAGGTGACCCACAGATGATAGAGTTTGTATAAAAATGGCAGATAGTTGATCTTTAAAAAATTATAGTCTGCCAGATACAAATCAAGTGTTTCTTCTTTATATTATACCAAGACGACGCTATAAAACCATGCTAAAATTAATCACTTGGGTCAGTGGTTCCCAACTGCCGGTCCGCAGACTGGTGCTGGTCCGCGAACTGCTGTCTGCCAGGTCACGCCCCTGCCTTGATTGGCTCAGTGGGAATCTAAGTTCTTGGTAAGCTGCGCGACCATGCAACTCCCAACTGAGTCCGAACCAGAGGGTTAGGGCTGCCATATAGAGAGTTTCCTGGATGGGGAGGGGTACTCCCTCAGTAGCAGAAGCTCCTTGCTCCAAACAACCAGCTGGTAAGAAATGGGGACATAAGGAAGAAGGAGAGAGTAATTACATGGGACAGGTGGGGGCCAGAGCAGAGAGGAGTTTGGAGCTTGCAGTAAGTATGGGAAAGGAGAGGTTTGATTACAGCAATCTGATTACAGCAGCCAGGTTTGCTTGCAGCTTCTTGTGAGAAAACCATGCATGCTACTCTAGCTTTCTGGTCTGGGAGAGAGGCAGCATAGGGTAGAGATGGGGAAATGGGGGCAATGCTGGCATCTGTGGAGGGGAGTTTGGGCTGTCTTAACTTGTTTCCCTCTGGGCTGCAGACATAAGACTCTCTCCTGGGCTGGTGAAGACTGTAGGGTTGTGCCAAAATTTCAGGTGAGTTAAAAGCTTTTAGTTTGCTTTTGAATACAGGAACAAAAGGCCTAGCTCATGACATTTGCATGAGTCCATTTCAAACAAAGTTTACATAGGTGTTAATGGCTGAAGATAAGGAAAGAATTATTTTAAGAGATTTCTTTTAGTGCTGTAGATATCTGCAAACTTTGATTGATACAAAAACATGCATTGTGTGTATACAGAGGCACACTAATATGTGGCCTCTTAAAATTAATTACCATAATGAATATGCAAATAAAATGTTACCGATTCACCAAAAGTTTGTGAATGGGTTTGCCAGTCTGTGGCATAAAAAGGTTGGGAACCACTGATTTAGGTCAGTAATTATATTTCCATTAGTCTATTGCTTTTCATGACAAGTTAATTAAATGTTTTAAGGACTAGGATTTACCAAGAAACTAAAAGAGTGGGGACTTTCCAATAAGTTTAAGTGTACAGATTATGTCTTGCACTGTAGGAAATGCCGCATGTGGTGCAGAGATCATAGTTACACTCCCTCAAAAAGAGAAAAAAAAAAAAGGCAGGCATAAAACTCAGTTTACTTTCATTCTTGGGCACTGCTACAGCTAGTGCTTCGTCTATCATTTTCTTTATACAACTGAAAAAGCCTTTTATGCTATACTTTAAAAACAACAGTTAAGGTTTTGTCAACTGTGGAAACCAAGCATTTTAATAGCCCGTTATAACTTGGGATAGGGAGGGCGTGTAGAGAGGAAAACAGAAGCAGATCAGGAAATGCAAGTGGTAGACTTACATTTCAGTTTGTATAAATAAGACAGACCAGTTTCACAGACCAGTATGACCAGTGCCATGGTCAGCTGGCTGCTGGAGAGGAAGTATATAACTACAATCCTGGCTTCCCCCAACCCTTGTTTGCCTTGCCCATTCAGCCCTTAATGTCATGCTTTCCAATCCTCCAACATTACTTTGGTCACAGCACTTCCCAAAGAACAACTCATGGGAGAAGGGAAACAAGACAAAAAAGTGAATGCAGTACTGAAGGAGGTATGAAAGTAGATGTCATTGCAATTAGAAGCAGAAAACTTGGTTCTGTATAATATACAGCATACTGATTGCAGGAAAACATCCAACCACATTTATTTGAAGCAGTAAACTGGAACAACTTTACAATAAGTATTTTGAAAATTCCACCGATTGGGGGACCTAGTCAGCTATTCAGTGCCAAGTGAAAACAGCTTGGGCAAGAAAAGCAGACAGGCACAGTATTCCACACGAATGGCTTGTGAACACTAACTAGAAACCAATTTTTAAGAGACATAACTTTGATGTAACACTCATCTGCCTACACACAGATCTATTTAAAAATGTTTCTTTAGGTGTTTTACTTTAGTATTCTATATACTATTTTGTTTTTATAGTCTGATGTCATCCACAGTATACTACACATTGTGAATTCTTTAGGGCAGAGATTATGTTCACAATCTTATGCATCACACTATGATTTAGAAAGGACAAGTGAAAAGTTCTCCATTTATTCACATAACCTTCTAGAGGAGAGAAGGGTGTAAGGAGGGGGAAAGATCAATACAGGAAAAGATTAGATTTATACTTATTGATATCCTGTAAGTTACCAAGTTTTGGTAATCTTTTACTAAATATCTGGTTATACCTCATTAAAAAAATGAAGAGCATTTATATCCTCCTACCTACCACCAAATTTTACCCAGGAAGGTATAAGTGCTTTCAAGATGAAAATGCTTTTAATAAACACTCAAGCTGACATTTCAGTCTAGGGAAGCTTAAGAACACCTGAAATATTATTTCATCTTTCTTGCATCAAAAAAATAAATTTTCTTCTGACTTTGGAGTGGAGAGCTGGATAGATTTCCTATTAAAAAACTGAGATTAGTTTAAATACTCTACGCTCCATCTATATTAAATTTACCTCCACCCTAAACTATTAAAAGTATTACACTTAAAATAATTAAAAGATACATTTCCTCTAACTCAAACTAAAAAAAAAATCCCTGAGTTATTCCACTATTAACCATGAGTTACTTTAAATCCTATTTCAGAGAAGTAGGGTTTTAAAAATCAGATTTACACTGGAAAGGAAGAAAAGAACTGAAGACAACCATGACAGTAAAAGAACTTAGCAACATATAGTTTAGGAGTTCACACAACAGCTAGCTGTCCAAGCACCAACAGCATCCTATTAAAAATATGTTCTGGCTATTTATTCTTTTTATGAGCTATAAAATTCAGCTGTGTACATATTTGTTTGAAATTATAAGTCATAAAACATTAGTATTAAGAAGAGTGTGGAAATATTTATGAAAAATGTGCGCATGCACATGCTCTGGAGGAGTGGGGGAAATGTGAAAATACAATACCATTTTAAATAGTCTTTCCCCACCCATAGAATTTCCTTAATCCTTCACTTTTTGCTTGTTTCTGTTGGCTTAAGAACAGGGTTAGGGTTAGTTGTCTTCAACATTCTGATTAAGTTGTTTGCGTCTTTTGAAATGTAAATCTGATTTTTAAAACCCTGCTTCTCTGGAGTAGGGTTTAAAGAAGTTATAGAAGACAAAAGGTGGTTGGGAAGAAAGCAACCCTTTGAGTATTTTTTTAAACTATTAGTTATCTGGAATTCAAAAGGGAGAGGAAAGAGAAAATGGGATCATCAGTTTCATTTCCTAACCTGAGATGAACCTCCCTTATGATGAGTAACTTATTCACACACCGAGATATATCCAGTCTTCATGAATTCATTCTGACAGTGTACACCACTTTGCCTCTTACTTGTGAGCCTTGTCATAATGCCAAGACAATGCAGATTAAAAAAGGTATCAATATTCACATTTTATGCATTTTAATTGTTATAAAAACACACATCACAAGTGTTCTTAATGCAAGGTAAACAATAATGGTGAGGAGGCAAGTGGCAGGGAAGTAATAATAAAAGCATTATGTCTGCCCATCTGCAAAACTGCATTTGGCTAAGCACTGTGCAATACGCAGAAACCATTCCATTTCAAAAGCACTGCTCTAAGAAGGCTGTCACTGCTGGGAAGGACAGGGAGCAAATGATTTTAATAAATCTGAAGGATACTATCTTGCATGTTAATAATTCAACTAAAATTATAGCTATTTTGGATGAATTACTAGCTAAAGAGAACATTCTTTCACAGAAAGAGACCATCAGTGAAGCAAACTTCTGGTTGACCACCACAGACTTTACTGATAATGTTTTATAAATGTGACATTTTCTAACTTCTTAAGAAAGGCATGTAGTTATTTTTAAAAAGTAGAATTAACTCAGTTAAATTCTACCAGTTAATGTGGACTACTCAATAGATGAATTTTATCGAGCTGCATTTATTTTACTATCTTCTATATAGGCTCCAGTCATTTCACTGGAACTTTTGCAAAAAATATTATTAGGAGTATATGACTGGCTTTTCACACTGCATTATCTGAGGCACAGTTTGAATGAACAATAGCATGTCACTTTTGCCTGAACAGAAATATTTAGGTGTCTAAAAATGGATAGTATAATTTTCAGCACAAGTAATGAGCAATACAAGTGATAAAAATAATAAAATATTTCTAGGAGACACTCCTGAGAGATTGGGTAAGTTTGTGGTGTTCTCTAATTTTCTTTTTTAAATAAAGGAACAATTTAAAAGCCACAATACATGGCTTTTCTTTCTAGTCCTTCCCCTTCCATAATATTGTCATTAAAGCAGTTTCTCCTCAGACAAGGGGGGAGGAGAAGAGGGTTTAAATTTTTTTAAATTTAAAAATTTCAAATACAGTTCTCTGCTTTTTAGGGTTAATCTCTAATTTTTAGGTTTTGCTAAGCCTAATATATAAAGCTAAAATAATATAATTATTTTATTACTGTAAGTGATATACAAGGGAAGAAAAAGACTCAATGACTATTACACTGTTCTGAATCTCAAACACCATGTACTTTTCCATGTGATACCTTACAAAGGGGCTACTGTTCTTGATTTACCTATAGTCAATATAATTTTAAACTACGTTTCTTCTCATTAACAAACTTGAAAGGTTTGTTTCTATATCTTAATCATCAACTTCACATTTTATGATACAACCCTCTTAAAATCTCATGTTAAACTTTATTCCATCTCTATCTTCAAAAACTTTGCTTTTTTTCCTTGATTACTCTATGCATTAGAAAATTTGTCAGAGAAATGTAACTCCTCTGAGAAATATTTTAGGGTATACAAATGCTAACAGAAACTGTACATCACAAATGTGATGGATGGCACACATCTGAGGGACATTAACTTTACAGACCCAGACAGACTAACCAATCTGATCAAGTTTTACTAGACAATGGCAAAACACCATGAAATTATCAATATGTATTAAGAAGCGATTTTAGAAGTGCTAAAAATCCATCCGGTAGAGACTACAGTATATTAAAACCATTTCATTAAGAGCTTGTTTCCCTTCTCACCATCCCCCAACTCCAGCTGCAAAGAACAGAAAAAAGGCACAAGGTTTCCTCTCTCTCTCTCTACGGAGAAGGCGGTGGAGGAAACCTGATCTCAGCCCTGACTTTCAGTAAACATCACCGCAGTGAGCAATAAAGCCCCGTGGGTCTAAAGCTCACACGACTGCACCCCCCCCCCCTTTCCCAAACGGAGCCAGCTTTCCTCCCTCCCTCCAAAGATCGCTAAGCAGGTTGGGGAGCGGGGATTTCTCGAAGATTTATGTCCTGGGGGAAGCAATCAGATTCCCCCAGAGTATCACAAGACGATTCAGTAAACATCACCGCAGTGAGCAATAAAGCCCCGTGGGTCTAAAGCTCACACGACTGCACCCCCCCCCCCTTTCCCAAACGGAGCCAGCTTTCCTCCCTCCCTCCAAAGATCGCTAAGCAGGTTGGGGAGCGGGGATTTCTCGAAGATTTATGTCCTGGGGGAAGCAATCAGATTCCCCCAGAGTATCACAAGACGATCAACGAGAGGCTTCGCTTCCCTTTTCAGGCTACTCCCCCCC